TGTGGAAAGATAGACAGAAACACCTGTGGATTTCTTCAGATCTGAAACAAGAGTGGAGCTTGATTTTTCCTGTCTTCCAAAGATTAAAACTTTAAGTACTGTTTATCTGATGGTGATAGTTTTGGTGGACTACCAGTCTGTTGGAGTCCCATTTACTCTGTAGCTTTTAAGATTTTTCTAATTCCAGTTTTGGAAACTCCAGTTTTTATACTTATAACATTTGTGTGGTTTTATGTACCAAAAACAGTTACAATTTTTACAAGACCATTTTCCAACCTTGTCCCTTAGAATTAAACAGCTGTTTTCTTTACTGTGCCTTCAAGACTGATATATGTAAATTGTCTCTGTTCTGATTGATTGTCTTGTATTGTGCCTCATTCAAAAAGCAATCCAGGCTGTAGCAGCATGAATGGGCAGGGCTAAACTGCTGTAGGCTTTTGATAACACAAATACAATAAATTCAGAACAGGCTTTTTTCCTTGTATGGAAAATAAGCCTCAAAAGCAACCCCTATCTGAACTTAGAACAAAAGTTGTGCTAAATATCCTAATCTGGCATATTTGAAATGCTCTCAGGCACATAAGTCAAATTTTCAAACATGAACAATCCATTTTTGAGATTTAGACAGATGTTTTTGCCCTGATTATTAATATATTTATTGATGTGGTCTATTATATTTTACTTATGTGAATGAATACAAAATTTAAAATACCATGATGAATGATAATTCTAAAGTCTATTCTTAATAAGAAAACCAAAGACGGTTTGCTATATATTTTATATATATCATTGCTGTTGGACAAAAACCTTGTATCTCCAAAATGGTAACTTTGCAAGAGAAGGAAAAACCATTATTTACCTTTATTGTAAGTTAATATAAGAAGATTTAATTCTAAGTAATTTTGTACCATTTGTGGCGGTCCATTCATCTTGAAATTTTCACCCGGCAATGCACTATATATGTTCTATCTAGTCACTCATCCTACATGAGACGAAAAGCTAGTTTTGGCTCTCTTTGAACAACCAGAGCTGCACAACACTCACAAACATTACCACAATCTGACCATGAAAAGGAGTTTTCTATTTACTAGCTATTATATATGTAATTCAAAATGTTTATTAAACATCTTCTTTCAGTTTACATAAAAATGAAAAGACAAATGAGGCAAAAGTGCCGAACCTCACTTTTTATCTATTATCATTTTCATAATAAAACGACTTCCCTCAGTTCCTCTTTCAGAATTGCAGTTCTACAGCATATATTTCGTAGATCAATTATCTCTTCAAATATATGCAAAATGAATTTGGAGAATAAATACCTGTTGAATGTGGATGCTTCACATGTAACAAACCAAAAAGACATAAATGGCAAACAGATTGACAGTTATCAAGCACAGACTGTATGGCACTAATAGTGGTGGTATTCCTGATCATGTGAGCAATATATTAAGTAAGACAAGAAAAGGAAGAGAGAATAACATGGGGGGATGGAAGATAGAAACATTATTGTTTTTATCAGAATAATAGTTAATGCCCCTTTTTTCAATTAAGAGGGATCATGAAGTCCTGTTGAAAGACAGACAGTGAAAGACAGAGTGTGTTAGATGAGTAATGAAGGGTAGGTTGGACTGAAGGAGATTGAAAGTGACGGAATGCATGCAATCCTCCCCTCCACTCTCCGAGGTGCCCTTGAATCAGTGCTGTCTGCAGATATCATTATCCTCTATGTGACCTCACTGACCTTTACCTGTGAGTACCATTTAACACTTGACATACATTCACACCTTCAGCACTGGACACCTGCATTAACTCCATTCTTGCTATCACCATTACATCAGGCTTCAGTTTCAGTGTACATTTTCAGCGTTTGTCTATATCTTAACATGTTGTAATACATTATGTAGTAAAACTGAGGGTCCACAGACAGCTGTGGGTTTACATTAGAGCACATATGAGCTGTACATTAAAAATGCAGGAGTGCAGGGGAAAAACTGTACAAATACAGAAATCGACTGTATTCAGAACTAGAGTAAAGAGCTATAATGGTAAAATACAGTATGAGTACTGTATATAAACAGTAAATCACTGGAGAAATTGCTGCCAGTATTTTACTGTAATTTTACACTGAATTTTTAAAAGTGTTTCCATGCCCACAAATACATTATTTTATAGCAATAGTTACAAGGCTGGAAAAGCTTTACAGAACACAGGTGAACCATTTAACCTGATTAATTTAGATTGAAGTTTAGAGTTACTAAATAACAATGGGCCTCATGTACCAAGTTTTTTTCTAAAATTTGTTCTTAAGAAAGATCCCAAGAAAAAGTCTACATGACGTGTTCTTAAACCGCAGAATTGTTCGCACCTTTGTGCTCTTGAGTGTGCGCAGATTCTGTTCTTAACCAAGAACAAATCCCAAAGAAGAAAACATTGGTGAATGTCAGAATCTTCATGAAAACTGTATAGGTCAGTTTCAAGAAGAAATTTCTTTTTAAGAACGATTGGTGAATGAGACCCAATGAATTTCCAGTTTAAAATGTAATGCTACTGAGCTGGAGTATGTTGTTGTAGATGATCAAAAGGACAACAAATTTGCCACCAACAAATTTGCCACCATGTACTGCGCAGGTACATTTTTCATTCATCAAGGTACAAACAATGTAAATGTACCCTCAAAGATAGAACAGCAGTTTTAAGGTTCAATTATGTACCTTAAATATATTTTCCTAGTGGAAAAGTATGCTTTTGTATCTCTTCACAACCTTCTGTTTTAAAATGGAACAATAAAATAAAAAGCCTGGAGATGAGACAGACTGTGTCTCTCACAGAGTCAGTACAACTTAGAAAATACTACTTCAATGGATTATGGTACAATTATATTCCCTGACTGAAGGTACCCAGTTGCACTCTTGAGGGTACCACCTCAGGGACAAGAGGGGTACTGCCCCAGTGACAGTTTCGTACATTTTTTTCTGAGAGTTAACTAATGCTAGCTTCATTACCAAACAACAAAATAAATTAAATCTGACGTATTCTAGTCTCAAAGGCCAGATTTCTGCCAGAGAGTCTGGTGCATTTTTGTCCCTTAACATGGCCAAGACCTGCCTACTTTGTCAGGAAAAGGCCATTTGACTAACACGCAAAATAGCCAATCATAGACCGTTGCTTTTGTGCGATGTGTAGGGGCTACAAGAAAAACTAACCCACAGTAAACAAGTCAGAAAACACATGAGGGGACCATACTTAAAGCTGCTAAATGCTTCAAAGAAAATGCTTGAACTTCCTTTAAAGACACAATGCCATGAACTTCACAAACTTTTTTCCAAGCCACCAACTATATCTTGCTCATCCACAGCTCGCAGAGCAGGTAACTGCAAAAGGTTATTTTTCAGACTGAACACACAGCCATGCAGATAGCCATTCAGAATGTAACTAACCAAATTCTGGTAGCTCTGGCCAGCATGGAGTTCATTAGATATCAGACACTCCATTTACAAGTTGGTGGAGCAACTGAGGCTGAGACTAATTTAGAGTAGAACGGAACTGATTAATAATTGAACTAATAACTGAATAATAATTAACTTGTGCTATAAAAAGGTTGGAGTATAAATTTTTCTTTATATTCATATATGAAACTGTAGAGTAATTTTTGCCAATATGCGAATGCCAATAAAGCTTGTCCAACTTCGCAAAAGTTGCTATGAAAGTATGCCTTTGTAGGCAGAACATGGACAGACATTATTTTAATTTATTTACAAAAATGGTTCTTCAAGCTAAAGGTTATTTAAGTAATCAAAGTGGTTCTTCCATGGCACCACTCCAAAGAACCCCCTTTGGCACCTTCATTTTTAAAAGCTCAAAGTGGAAACAGGTAGCAAGATCTGATTAACTGAGTGTGTTTTTTCCCCCCAAGTTGTCACAGAATATCCCAATCTGCTACCATGGAAAAGCTGACAGGCAAAATATCTGTATGTCTTAATTTTCTGCAACTTCCCACCCACTTCTTTTTTTTCCCTTTTTATTTTAGCTGAACAAGTGTCCCCCCACCTGTGAGGAGGAGAGGAGCGTGTTCCTCTCTCCACACACACCCCTCCCATTTGCTTAAGCCTATTTTAGCTGGACATAATCTGAAATGGTACTTAACTGAATTTATGTTGAGCTCAGTGCATTAACTTCGGCTTGTGCCTTATGTTTCTTTGGGCTTTTTCATGAGTGCAGAGAGAGAGCAAGATCGAGAGAGAGTGAGCAGAGAGAGAGAGAGAGAGAGAGAGAGAGAAAGAAAAGGAGAGCGACAAAATTTGAAACCCAGACCACGGAGTAGACGGCCTATCAGTATTCAGCGGAGAAAGTGAGTGATGGCGAGAGAGGGGGGAGAGAAGAGAGAGAGAGAGAGAGAGAGAGAGAGAGAGAGAGAGAAAGGGGAAAAAAGGAGGGGGTGATGTATCAATATTCTGAGTAGTGTTTGAGGGCAAGGGGAACGAACAGGGGAGGAGAGAGAGAGAAAGAGAGAGAGAAAGAGAGAAAGAGAGAGAGAGCAAGAAAAAACTACCAAGTGGGATTATTTGCTTATATGTGCAAGTGTGTGTGACTGTGTATGTGTGTGTGTGTGTGTGTGTGTGTGTGTGAGTGTGTGCATGTATGATTCTCTGATGGATGCTGTGTGTGGATGCTCACTTGTTTGTGTGATGTCTGAGTGAAGGAAGAGGAAAAGGTTTACGCTGTTTAGATGTGATGGAATCTTCCCCTTCTTAGACATCCCCCTCCTCTCTCTCTCTCTCTCTCTCTCTCTTTCTCCCTTACTCTCTCTCTCTCGCTCTTTTACTCTGGGTGCTAATCAGCATTTGAAAGGCAGCTTTGACAGTGAGAAAGAAAGTAAGGGCCAGTGAGGAGGAGGAGGGAGGGTAAATGAAAGTGAGGGAGAGACTGAGAGTGAGTGAGAGAGCGAGCGAGAGAGCGAGCGAGAGAGGAAGATTGAGTGAGACTGGAAGAGAGAGAGAGAGAGAGAGAGGGGGAGAGAGAGAGAGAGAGAGAGAGAGAGAGAGGCAGGGGCTATACAAGCATGCCTTTTATATTTACTAGCAATTGAGGAGGAGAGAGCCGGAGAGACGGAAAGAGAGAGAGAAAGAGAGAGAGAGGGTGAAGATACAAGCAGTGTGCGTAGCTTTCCCAAGAGGAAATGAAAAGAAAAAGGCTCTGCAAGGCAAGAGAGAGAGATAGAGACTGAAAGAGAGTGTGAGAGAGAGAGAGAGAGGGAGCAAGTGTATCTTCTCACTCAAGTCATATCTGAGAAGAGTCGGATGGTAGGAAAGTGTGCGTGTAAGAGAAGGAGAGAGCGAGAAAGGGAGCGAGCGAGAGAACGAAGCTTAGGTCTCTCCACGTCCATGCTCACTCTCTCTCTCTCACGCTCAGACTCACGGCGGACGCTCTTTTGTGTGAGCAGGATTGTTCTGCGTCCAGTCTGACCCCCTGTCACCCCCCCAGAGTGTGTTTAGGCATGTGTGTGTGAGCCTGTGTCTGCGTGTGTGAGGGTCCTGGAACGCGGAGGTCTTGCTTAGGGGGTCTGTCCGAGTCAAGGGGGCGTCTGAAGAAGAGGAGGAGTGTGTCCTGGCACAGCTGCTCAACACTGGACATGCACATCAGGTCAGTCCACTTTCAGCTACCGACAACTTCCCTCTGCTCTGAGCACTGTTTACATCGGGGCACTAAGTGGACCAGTACATCCACATATGTACATTTTTACATGCTATTATTTTCTACCAACTTCAGTTTTCTTGTGTATTGCCACTTCCTATAACCTCTGGTTCCTTTTTATATATTTATTGTTTTTTAACCTATGTGCCAAAACAAACTCTACTGTGGTAGATGCAGTTTTCTTAGCAAAAGGCTAACATCTGTCCATATCTGTTCATATTAGCCTTCATTCAACTTTTCCGCCATTTCTAATAACCTCCTGGTATGCTTTAAAAAAACCATGCCAAAATACATTCTCAGGACAATTTTCTTAGCAAGAAACTGGTGTAGCAATATTCATATTAGCCTTCGCTAACCTTTGCCAAAAACAAACTGTAAGCAGATGCAGTTTTCTTAGCAAAAGGCTATCAAATATCTATGCATATTAGACTTCGGTAAACTTAATATTTCTTGCACATTTCCACTTCTCATATCCTTCTGGTACACTTTTAAAAACCTATTTCCAAAATAACTTCTCAGGCACAACCGGTTTTCTCAGCAGAAGGCTGATCATCTATTCATATTAGCCTTTACTACACTTCAATACCCAGCGTGCATGTTTCTACTTTTCTGTTTATTTACGTTAGCATCCAGCTAGCCTGCTATGAAGGAAACTCTGCCAGTGTTAGCCAGGCTAATGAAGAGCCAAACAGGCACTAAAATGCCCAAAAATATAGCTTAGCTTCTTGTAACTCGATATTTTTTTTCCTCTTTAGTGGTTTACACATATTCTGAAACACAGGCATTTTCACATGTTCGCCTCTGCATCACCTTCGTGTTTGTTTAGCGCTGTAATGGTCCTCAGGGTCCTCTGGAGGTTCGTCTACCTCCTACAGCTGTCTTTCACTGTTCCTGAGATGGAAATCATACTCATTTAGCACTTGCTACGTAGTTCAAGGCTACGTGGCGTTGGTAACGTAAAAAGTCCGATCGTACGCTTTGTTTTGGTCACTTCGGTCGATCCGCACCTGTTATTAGCCAAGTGCCTGTCAGCTCTGTGCTGTGGGAAAGTTTCTGGAAGAGAGAGCTGGACTGTATCGGCACTTCTCCGAGCGCACCGGCTGTGTTTCTCTATTTTTCGTGGTGCTGGAGGCAGAGAGAGAGAAAGAGGGAGAGAGGGAGGAGTGTGCTGGGCTGTAGAAGCGCAGCCTGCCTCTGCTGACGGGCTATTCTACATTATGTCTCTCTTAATTAGTGGATTTTGTTGGATTAGCGCTTTTACGGCGCTTCTTTCTCTGTAAGCTTCTTACTGAGAGGGAGAGCAGATATGAGGCTGTTTTGTTATCCGACGCTTTCAGATCTAATAACTTCGCTTAAACGCGAACTGTATCGAAAATCTTAACTGCCTGTGTCTAACAAACGCAAACATTTGTTGTTGCTGATAAAGCTGAGAAGCGTGTGAACAGATGCCTGATACCGGCGACTGGAGACAGTGAGCAGGACAGCACTGAGCTCAGAGGGTTTTCTGCATTTTCAACAAACTAACTCATTCATATTCAGTCTTTGCTGCTGTTGAAACTGACCCTAACCTTGATAATGAGAGAAGCCTTTTCACTGGAGAACATAATGTTCAGACACAGTGATGACTCATAGGAATAAACATTGCCACTGTAATAATAATAATAATAATAATAATAATAATAATAATACATTTATGTATCAAATACACTAAAACCTCTTGGTTCTGCTTTGAACCCATTTCTTGGGATTCTGGTCCCCTTAATATGTGTTTACTAAATAAATGCTTGCTTAATTATCAAATTAATCCTGTTGTTCGGTGATCAGGGCTGTTTGGTATGTATGAATATCACATATATGGCAAAAAACATCCATAACATCTGTTTTTATGCCTGCGCTGCTGGAAATGTAGTGCTGTGTCTGAGATTAAGTGTAAGGTTTAGTATAAAGCAGTAGAGCAGTTCAGTGTCAGTAGAAGCTAAAGGGACAGAAGCCGTTCTGCTGAGATTAAAGAGCTCACTGATCTGTAGCTGTGTCAGAGGATATGCCCCTGGTTTCCCTCTTTTTGCTGTTGCTTAAGTCATTAACTACAGTGTTAGCTCCTCAGAATTTCCCCTTTCAAGCATTTTATTTAAAAAAAATCAGGGCAGCATCTCCCCAAAAATCTACCTGTTGCTGATAAAACGTGGCTTAAATCACTGAGGAATTTGAGTTTTCCTAATTTGTATTATTTTGCATTTGTTTCTTCCTTGCTGATGAACTTTATTTCTGATCCATATGTTTGCTTATGGCCGACATGTTTCTTTCCTGTTTTCTATGCTTTTCCATGTAGTGAGGATGTGGTAAAACATAGGTGTAGATGTGCTGCTTTCCTGAAAGTGCAAACTGAGTCAAGAGTAGCGGAAAGTACATTGACGGCCTCATTGCAGGTTCACATGGAAAAGCCACTGCTACAGCTAGAGTATGTAATTTACTGTAATTTACCAAGATTCATTATGGAATCTTTTTTGTTAATTTCTATTATCTGCCATTTTTCTTGTAAAATATTAACCCCTTAAAATCCCAGGCATATTACATACTAAGGCGTATTATTCAGTAACTACAGGTACTTTAATACAAACTGATTGAGCTATTCTTAGGTTAAAAAAGTGTGTGATAAAACTTTGGGCCTGTTGGTGGGCCCTGGACATTTAAAGGGTAAAGATTGCTGTTAGACTATGGTCGTTATAAGTCGCTTTACATTTCCATGCTTTTCCATCCAGCGAGGGTGTGCTACATTGTAGATTTAGATAATGTTAATGATGTATCAGTATCAGATATTTGTCGAAATAAAGAACCAGCATCGGACAGATGTTTAGATTTGAGGTATATTTCAAAGCAATACATGATGATGTACTCACTGTACTCTGTAAGAGCAGAATGTTTAGATGACGCTGGGTTACTGTGCTAAAATATCTGCATTTTACTCATTGGTAATCTTCTACAAATACGCATTACAATTTTCTATAATGCTAATCGAGGTGGATTTAGTCTCAACTTCTAAATTTTGTGTACATTTTTGTATTTAATATTGACATTGGCCCACAGCTCTCTCTCAAACTGAATGAAAGAGTGGTGGAAAGCAATTTGGAAGTTTGCAAGCTGGAGAAAAGGGGTAAATATCCCAATATCCACCAACAACAGAAGCACAGAGAGAAAGTTAGTAAAGCGGACGGGCTAATGCATGCATATGAAGAAGTTTGTTAGAGTGTTGTTATGAGCACACACACATTCAGTTTGAGTGAGAGAGCAACAGGACTGTTTGAAGTGCGGCACACACACACAGTGGTGCAGACAGGCCTGGTGACAGACAGTGTCAGCGGTGTGTCAGGAAGAGGCTGTTGGTGTCACACTCGGTTGACCTGATCTGTGGTCAGCCTGTCCACTGTAGCCCCGCTGTGGCCCCTTACATAACCCCTCCTGCCACTCACACACCACTCTGCAGGGACACACAGATATTTATATACTCCATATACACACTCCTACTTCACCATACACACAAATACACACATACACACAAACCTACAGAGCTTCTTTAAAAACAAAACTCTCAGTTCTGCACCTGAGAGATGTGCAACACCGGGCAGAGCGCATGCTGTGGTGCCTGAAGTCCATTAGACTCACGGCACTCAGTTAAATGCTGGCCTGTGTGCTGTATGCATGTATGTGTTACACATATCTTTTCAGAAATTCTGAGATTAACAGAATATTAGTAAAATAAAAGAATATTAGTGGTTTACATGCAAACAACCAATAAATATCTGTGAAATTGAAAATGGGGCAATAGTAATTATATACACATATAAAACAACTATGACAAATATCTTTGGAAATCATGTGCTTAAAAATCTCAGGGTGGCAGTGACTATATTTAGATATAAAACTTAAAAAGCTATTTATCTCAGACAAACACTAATATTACCAAAAATACAAATCACTCTAAAAACAATAAGTAATGATTTTATGCATGTCAGTAGTTCATTTAACAATATTTAAACCTCTTATTTGTAGTTACCATGCAGTACCAGGATTGGCTATTCAGTCCTTCTTCATGTTAAATCAAGTTTGCTGGTGATGCTGGTGATGGAATTAACAAATCCATGCGATGGCTTAGAGCATCCTGGAGAAATCTGGAACCAAACTTTGTTCTCCCTCCAGCTCATATCAACTACCTCTCAGAAAATAAGAAATTGTTCTTATTCTTGTTCTTTTGATGTTACTTTAATGTTTAATGTTTGTTCTTTATGTTTATTTGCATTTATTTAAATTATATATGACACTGTTTCCCAATCTCAGTCCTAGCAACACCATGCTCCACATATTTTCCTGTTTTCTCTACTCACATTTGACTCAGCCCAGGAGGAGCTTGTTCATTAGTTCATAGTTAAATCAGTTGAGTTTGATGAGACAAAGTACAAAAATGTGCACATATACATCTATTGCTGCTGTCAGAAGAAAACCTTGTATCTCCATTTTTGTCATTTCTCGGTTTTTGACATAATTTGAAAATGCCTGTTGCCCTTTACACTGTGTGTAAATTTCATGAAGAAATAGACCAAAAGAAACATCCCAACATGACTTGGCAAAAAGGCTGGTTCCATTGACTTATATTAAAGGTTTTTGTCCTTTTCCTGTAAAGTTATCATTTTGGACACACAAGGTCAGACAACAGTGATATATATATATATATATATATATATATATATATATATATATATATATATATATATATAGCAGGAAATCTCTAGCAATAGTGTTTTTGTATATACTTATAAACAACCTATAAATGTTGTTGAAAATCAAGTACTTTACAGTAAGATGTTCCCAGACAATATTGATTATACAAATATAAACAGTAAATACCTTTTCAAAATCCAGCAATGCAAAATTTCAGGCAGTAGTGATTATAAATA